GGGAGGGAGGGAGGGAAGGAGCGCAGCCCCTGGGGGGCAAATGCTCTGGGCAGCTTGAATGCCGGCGCGGAGAAGCGCGGAGCGGTGCCCGGTGCGTTAGCGCTGCCGCCGCCCGCCCGCCCCGTCGGTGCCCGCCCGCCCCGGGAGCGCTGCGGGAAGGCCCGGCGAGCCGCTTCGTGTCCTTACCATTAAACTCTAAACACCCGGCACTAAGAGCGTTTGGCTGCGAAACTAAAAGAGGGCAGGTCTTTAAAAAAAAAAAAAAAAAAAAAAAGGAAAAAAAAAGACCCCAAATGGGGGCAAAAATAGAGCTGTCTCCCAAGTTGCGGCCGAAAGGAGTTAAAACTCTCGTGGCATCGCCTCTCCGATGGGGGAAGGACCCGCGGGATGAAGAAAACACAAAAGCAGCAGTTAGTTGTTTGCTGGTTTTAGGGGAATCCACTCCAAAAAGAAAAAGAGAGAGAGGGAGGGGGGGGGAAGAAAAAAAAAAAAAAGAAAAAGAAAAAAAAAAAAGATAAAGGAAAAAAAGTTTGCAGGTAGCAGCACAGATCTGGAGTGGAATCTGCAAGGGAAGGGAGAAAGAGGGATGGAGCGAGATGTCGCCGGAGAAGGGAGCGCAGGGGAAGGGGGAAGAGAGCGAGCGAGCCCGGGAGGGAGCGGAGGCGGGGAGCCGCGGGCTGGCTGCGGGCGATGTTGTCTTCCCCAGATCTCTCCCCTCACTGAGCGCCTTCAGCCTTCTCCTCTTCTTCTCTTCCTGCTCGGTGGCTCCAAACTTGACCAGCCTTCCGCAGCCTTCCGTCTGATACGCAATTAGCAACAAAATCTTTGCAAACACCCCGCTCCAGCAAGAGCCCTCTTCGTAAACATTTGCCTGCTTGTTACCTTAGAGGACGGGCAATATTGTTTGTTGCCCCCGTGGTGGTGTCCGGATTTTTATTCATGAATCAAATGCCTTTTTTTTTTTTTTTTTTTCCCCCAGTCACGTAATAATCGGGTATCAGAAAAGACGTCACCACCCCAATTCCTCAAGGAACATAGTTCTGTGTCGTCCTCAAAGATGAGCTTATCAGGAGTCATAAAGCTTCTCATAAACACCAACTCACGCTCTCCCCCCACCCCCCAAGAAAGAAAAATTAGGAAAAAAAAAAAAAGAAAAAAAGAAACCCAACCAAACCAACAACCAAACGGCAACACACAAAAAGCCCCCGCAGCCCATCCCGCAAACCTAGAAGGATGCTCGCCGCGGTCAAGTTTTACCTGCCGTGGGAAGGGACCAGGAGGCGGAGGAGGGTGGTT